CGTTAAGGACTTCGCGCTAACAACACAGATGTTAGGAATGGGTTGCAAAAGAGTATCAAGCAAAAGAACCGAACTTGAAAACAAAACCCGGTGCCCATCCTATGACTCTGCAAATTTACCACTGCTTGCGTTCACCTTGACTTCTACTTCGCCTAGCTGGGCGACGAGTGTCCATGACGTGCGGCGACCCAGACGGAATCGATGGTTATGATTTCGAGTAAAAGACCGATAAGCAAATACCGGAGGCGGATATGTAATCAGCCTTCCATGGAGTGTTTGACTATATACGGCTTGCTGAGACTAACCACTTCAAATTTTGACCATTTCCTTGTGAGTAATAGTTGATGAAAGTACGGCTATCAAAAGCGAAAAATGGGAAAAGAGGGATTTTTGGATCCAAAATCTCATTTTGGAAGTTTTTTGAAGCGGGATATTTGACCATGAGATAACTAAAGAAGGAATATTGCTTGATTGTATGTCAAAAGAGGTAGTTGCCTTATTTTTGAAACAAAGTTAATCATGTTCGAAAACGACCACATCACTAAGGTGGCTCAACATCTGGAAACTTCACAATTCGCACAAACTTGGCCCAATTTGGGTCATTTGACATGCTAATTATGATATATTACTCATTGTGCTTGGAGGGTCCCTTTATCATGTTACGGTGTAGGCATACGATGGCAAGTCAATATCTCATTACTTGCATTTCCATAGTGGAGTTACCTGAACAAACCGCTCACTAGTAACATGTTATCACTATTGTCAGTATTACTCAATTACGACTCCCCTTGCCTTTTTGACACCTTAAACGATCCCACAGTTGTGGCGTGCCATATCCACACTTGACCCTGGCATGGCCTTTTTGACGGTGATCTTCGATGAGTATGTGCAGCTTCAAGATAGTCCAGCTAGTTTTGAGACAGCGTCAAATATCTCTCTCAACTGCTCATCTATTTAGCATAAAAATCTTCCAAAACGCTTCCAATCCTTAGCTCTCAATACTCTACAAATTTGAGTCTAGAAAACGTGCTGATTTAATGTGCTAATTTACCATATCACCTCCAGTCATATGTGCTAGCCGCAAGCTAAAAGGATTTGTCTATCCTTTTATACACCGCTAGTACTTGTCCTTCACCAATTTTATACATGTTAAAACTTCGAAGGTCATAGAAACGAAAATTATTCCGAACTAGTTGACTTACCCGGCTCCGCCCGGCCCTGCCATTATTATATTCGTAATCAGCATGGTCGATTACCCCCCCTGTGCCAACTCCCAGCCCCCCCGTAGCTCAAATTTTGCAAAAAATCGATAAAATAGATATCGATCGATGACGAAAAGTAGCCTATGACATCCGCCGGGCACGAAGTATATGTGTGCCAAGTTTGGTCCGGATCGGTTCAAGAATGGAATTTTCTATTCGGAACATACGTACACACAGACAGACAGACAGACAGACAGACAGACAGACATACAGACAAACAGACATTCAGCTTTATATATAAGAAGGTGATTTATACTAGGTGGGGGATGAGCGTCACACTACAGGCCTGCCACAAGAGAAGACATCACACTTTCAAGAATAAGTCAAAAATGCGCATGCGGTTCCCTCGTCATCGCGATAAAGTGAAGATCTTCAAAAATAGCTCGATTTACTTCGTGTTTATTTGGTTTCATCTTGATTTTTTTACCCGTATGTATAAAATTGCGATTCAAAGAAGTGCAACCTGAGAGCATTGGAAGCAAATATGTCTTATTGATATTCTCTATATAAAACATATGCTCTGCCAGATGCGAAGTGAAATATCTCGCAACAACATGTATTAATTAATGAGTAACAGCTGATGCAATCACGCCGCAAAACTATATCAAAACCTAAGACAACCAAAGAAATCATTACCGAAAAAATAAAATTGAAAACAGACACCACAGCGGACCTCAAATTTGCCAAAATGCTTCGAATGGCGCGAGGTCGCGACGCGGCGGAAACTGCGTTCTACTTTGTAGTATAACGTTAAGTCGCCAGAATACAGTGTCCCAAAAATCGTGCACACGTTCAGTTGCTAGTATTTTTCTTGCTTTAACGTTTTCCTCCCATTTTCAAGTATCAACTGTCCCAAAATTAAACCCTTTTTTATAAATAATTCAAGCTGTTTTTGTTCCAGTAAACCTAGGATATCATTCGATAGAACAGATCAAGCTCTTCAAAGTGGCTACAAAAGACAGTCGCATTCCGTGTAAAATTTAAAGCCCAAAATCGGAAGAAAAATTCTCACCTGAAAATGAATTTTTGCGAGAAAGAATCCTACGGACATCCAACTTGGTCATTACAAGTAGGCACAGAGTAGTCTCAAAAATGTCTTTACTGGGCTTTTTCCGCGCATAGAAAACGAAAAAAGATACTTCAAAAATGGCAACGACACCTCTCCCCTCTTAATGTCATTGTATACTACAAGCCTTACTTACGAGATGGTTTGATCTCAAAACTATAGCATTGTGTGTGTGCTTTTATAAACGAGAAATATTGAGTTATACATGAAAAACTCGAAAGAAAGGGTATTTTGGCTTTATCACACCATCTTTGTTTCTCAATTGAGCCCGGAAAAAATCCTAATAGAATACATTTTTGGGTATCACTATGTGTCTAATATATAGAGACCAAGTTCGGAGTCCATAGGAATTTTCTGGAAGGAAGTCCGTTTTTAGTGTAGCTAAAGAAATTTGGTTTTTGGCACCAAATTTTATTTGGATTACACTTAGTTGTATCTTTGGTGGCCTTTTTGTAGAGCTTGTTTGCACTCTATCGAAAGTTACATTAAGTCTGCGAGGAAAACAAAAGCAGCTCAATTTAGTTAAAAATGGTAATTATGGGACAACCTAATAGGATCACTGTGAAAAAAGCCGTCTGCCGAAATTTCCTTTGAAAGTGTGGAAAACTGCGTAGCAAGGTTTTCACGCTTGCTCATTTTACTACACATTTTTGCAAGCTCTTTAGGCGTTCTCAGAGTATGATCACTTTCTGGATTAGAAGACAATTGTTACGGGAGAATACTACTCATTAATCAAGCATTAGAGTGAAGTGCATTTCATATCTAAAGTCTGCGACTTTGATTGTTGTAAAGCTTTTGACTTGTTTAGCTTATTTTCCGAGGAAAAATATGGTTGTTTATGTCCTAAAATCATTCTTGAAGTTCCTACCGTTATTCCGTACTGATGAAGAGCGATCGGAAATTCGCTCGTACAATAGGTCTATAAGGGAACGACCCCAACTTAAGATGGCCATTTGGAGTGATCCGCAAATCATTAGATGCGCCTTGATGAGCTGATTTCAAATCTCCCTTCCTTACCTGCGATGCCCTTCTCTGGAAAAAGTTATGAGCGTTCAAAGATTCAAATTTGGAAAACATTCTGCGCCACATCCTCAAGAACTAGTTGTTCAAAAACACTTATCTGCGTCTCTGTTATGTGTGAGCATCCCTTAAAATTGCTACACTAAATATCTTGCTAGTCCTGCACTCCCAAGTTGGTCTTTAGCACATCATGCATTAGAGCTCCAGTAATTTTATGATTTGAATATGGATAAAAGTGGAAATCACTAAATTCTTGATGCATAATGAGCTTTAAAATCCAACTTTCAAGCGCATAACGAGCAAGATATTGAGTGTACTGATTTCAAGGGATGCTCACATTTACCGGAGACACAGTAGGTGTTTTTGAACAATTAGTTCTTGGGGATGTGGCGCTAAATGTTTGCCAAAATTGAACCTTTGAACGCTTAGATTTTTTTTCATAGTCCGACATCGCGAAAGGAAGGTAGGTTTGGATCAAGGCAAAACTTTTGTGTATTGCTTCCAAGCAGCTCTTATGATAGAGGAATCTTGATTGAAAAGGTTATGACAATATTAGAAAATCCCCAAGCTTCAATACTATCTGATCATCCTCTTTTTCATTTCCAATTCCCCCTTCTCTGCATAAACATGTTCAGACAAAGTTGACCAAAAGCTAAGATCTGCTGTAGCTCAAAAACAACCTAATTAATAGTCCATAGCTTTGCATAGTCTAGGGAAAATATTAGTAACCAACAACTTTTGGGTAGAACGTGTTCAAACGCAAGCTTTCTTTGCTTCCTCTCTGAAAAGGCGATTACCGGTATATTTTGTTTCAGAAAAAAAAGCTGATGAATTTACAGTTGAACAAGCAATATAGTTGATGACAGAGCTGTGCATATTGTGCACAGCTTTATGATGTTTTATTTTTGACATACTCTGCGACATTGTCTCTTACAAATCCCTAGGAACTACATAGCAGAGAAATCAAGATTGCTGGAAACTCGTATTTTCCCCTGCACTCACAAGGGAAGGAAGGTGGGTCGAAGTGGCTTTCTAAGATGAAACGTACACTATCTTGCAGATCTTGAAAAATGCAAGATTAGTGCAAAATCGGTCGTTACCTTTTCTTAACGTTCAAACGAGGCAGCAGCAAGCTGTCTAAATTAAGAATATTTATTGCGACGAGTGACCCGACTATCAGTTAAGCCCTAGAAAAAATGTTGCGTGTGATTTTTGAACTTGCATGTGAATTTTACTCAAAAAACCTTCATAACTCCTCGCTCAGAAGCCCTCAGCAGATTACGAAGGCAGATTTGGAATCAGCGTTCCAAGCTCTATGAAACAATTTACAACTGATCCTAAAAGGCCACTTAGACCAACCTTCCTTCCCTTGTCAGAAGTTTTTTTTTGTTTGGGTAGAGGACTATATGTCATTATTTGTTTGGGTAGAGGACTATATGTCGCCGAAAGTGGGAGGGTCCCACGCGGACGATGCAGTAGATACTCAGCCTGTGCATGTACTGAAAGTTATTGTCGCATATGTCCGGCTGGACCTCCCATTTCCGTCGACGTGTAGTCTTCTACCCCACTTTTTCTGTCAAGTTATGTTGAAAAAGTTTCGTTTGTTCGTCGTTTTTTCAAACGCTCTAGTACCGCTTACTTTCTCAGAATATTTTTTCCAGAGACTTTACGTCAGTTCGACAAGAATGAGAATTTTCAAACTTACCTTCTTGTTACTTACCATCTTAGTGGTAGGTTGACCAAGCAAGACATGACTTAGTTTGCGCTATTACTCCTTAGACTTACTGACTGTACATTACTTTGATGCTTACAGATTCTCTCTGCTGTGGACGTTGGTGAATGCGGAAAATTCAAAGACGCAATGAAAAAAGTTGGACAAGTTTTCGTAAAAGCTGGAGAAAAGATTGGAACAGGGGTAAAAACAGTTGTAAAAGGCGTCGTAAAGTTTGAAAAGGCGATTGATCACTTTGGAGGAAATATAGTTCCTAAAGTGTTAGACGTTGCTGAAAAAATCACAGGACATTGATATTTCGTGCTCGATTGTCGATAAACCCTTGCATTGTGATTCAAGTTGTAATACAGTTTTACGTTGCCGACCAAGGTTGATAGCAAGACTTTATCACTCGATAAGCCAACGTTGGCTGTCCGTCTGTCTTCATCAGGGCTTCTTGAAAGTCAAGACTTGAAAACTGCCCGCTATTGCCCTGTTTTACAGTAGACAGTATAGCTATCTGGTGGAGTGGTAGAATAGATATGTAAGCTTGACTTCAGCCTTTTCAGATCGTGATATAGAGACCGAACAGCCAGTACTGCGCTGCAGCTGCGCTATGAGTGAGTATGATAGTCGGTGTCAATAATGCCCTTATGTGGTTATAAAAGATCTCGTATTAGAATTCGCATAGTGTTTGATAGGAGAACAGTTCGCTGTTTATGGCAATGCCATCATCTTTGCTGCTCATTTTTTGTAGTTCAGACGCTATCCAAAAAGCCTGCAAAGTCTTGCGGGCTATTAACTCGGATTCGTGCGACAAGATCGTAACAGTGATTTGAAAGTAATGGTTCTCATGACATGACCTTAGATGTGCACCCAAATGTGTCGACATTTTGGACTTTCTAAGGCGTCAAGATTTCCTTTGATTCTTGTGCACAACGGTCTGCCGGTCTCTCTCAGACAATTGCCGGGGGCAGGCGGGCACCGGAAAATATTTTTGAGGTTTGCATTTCTGTTGTAAGGGAACTTCCACATTTTTTACAGGTTCAAAATAATTATTGTTTATATTACACCGTACTCGAAGTATCATCCCTCCATGAATTTTGCAACATTCTAACACTAGTTTTTTTGCGCCTCTTGACTATAAGGACAGTCGATTTGAGTATGGTAACTGACATAAAGCTGCCGTTAAAGTCAAGCGGCTCGGGCCCTCACGACTGCCTCGCTCCGGCCTTGCGCTAGTGAACTTATCATTCGGGTATTTTGACATGCGGTCATTAGGGTGGCAAGGCACTCAGACAATCGCCGGGGGCAGGCGGGCACCGGAAAATACGCGTTGCTGAAATTTCGCATCCCTCTCGCAAATTCTAGGAAAACAGTTAGCGAGTTTCTGAGAGACCGCCTGTCGAATCTTTTTTCGCTCTTATCTTTTGCAGATATATTGCTGAATCTCTGAGGAATCGAGGATTCAGCAAGCGACGTTCCGAAAATCCTGATTGCCTCTCAAAAAATCCGCGAGCGGGATTCGAGAAATCAGCCATCTATTTTTCCGGTGCCCGCCTGCCCCCGGCGATTGTCTGAGCTTATGTACTGGTAAGCGCATTTTTGGCAGGTTCTGAGAAATAGCACTCTTAATTCCATACGGTCGCCTGGTTTTCCAGAGCTCAGATGATAGTCGGTGGTCGCGCACATTATGTCATACGCTCAAGAATTAGGGACATCTATAACTTTGACGGAATCATCGAGGCCCTCTTGGAACAAAGATTTTCTTATAGCTTTGCTAGAATCGCCAGATAAGAAGAACACAAATCATACTCTTGTTGTCTGATTCATTTCAATCGGTCTGCTTTCTTGCCTACAGGTATGCACTGGTGCACCTTTTGCGGAATAGCTTTTGAAACACGCAGTCTCTTTGGCAAGGTTCATCGATGGATTGCGCTACAACGTTAAATAAAATTGATTTCGCTGTCTCATGGACGGTTTCGTGCTCCAATATTGCACAGAGCGATAGTGAATCAATATACTCTTACTAGCCCGTTTGCGGAGCCATTTAGTTACTTATGATCCGTAAGATAAAGACATTGGACGTTTAGGAACGGTAGCCAATTTTCGTCGGGTTTATCCCGCCTGAATTTTATGTTAGGGGATTGGTTATTCAGAATGTCAAAGCATATGTCTATTTCACTATGAGTTAAACATACAGAATGTCCCAAAAAATGTATCCACTGTTTGATTGCTAATAACTCTATTATTATGAGGCCTTTCGAGAAGTGGTAAGCGCTATTTTGTAAAGCTGGCTTCAACTTAGATCTACAGTATATAGCAAATCACCGACCGCTCTTCATTACTGTTGGATTACGGTAGAAATTTGGGACATATGGTGTCACTGTGGAAAAAGCTGCCGTTTCAAAAACTTTCAAAAATATGTGAAAACTTGTGTTATAGGGTTTTTATGGACGCTGAGTTCAATACTAAACTATTCTTAAGATTGCGAAGCTTTCTAAATGGTGTAACCGCACTTTTTAGGAACACTGAGAAAATGGCCGCTACTGCTTACCTCGCATAACTCTTCAGTGAAGCAATCATAATAAGTTGGGAACTCTACACTTATAATCAGCAACTCCATTTGGCCTGTGTGAAAGTTTTCAGACTGTTTTTATTCCTTTCTGAGGCAAAATATGGCCTTTCATGGCCCAAAACCCTCTTTCAAGTTTCTACCGTAATCCTACAGTAACGGAGAAAGATGGACGATTCCCTCTACACTGTTAATCTAAGTTGAAGCCAGCTCTACAGAATGGCGCTTACCGCTTCTCAAAAGACCTCATAATATAATAATAGAGTTATTAACGCTGAAACAGTGGATACATTTTTTTGGGACACCCTGTATAATCCAGCAGTCGTCAATGTATCCATAAAAGAGCAAGGACTAAGAGCAAGTACGGGTTCTTTAATCTTTGACATGAAGGCGATTGCGACGACGGGAGTCAATCTTTGCCTCTTCGCTAGGCCACGTACCTGCTTGTAATAGCTTCTTGACCAGCAAAATATGCTGCAATCCAAGCTTTTTTGAAAGTGTCATGATTTGTCCAACACTGAATCCATACATTTTGAGAGCAGATTGATTTTCCGAGAGTAGCTCATACATGGCTTCCTTAGTATTAGGTTGTTGCAAAAATAATGTCCCTTTTTCTAAGCCTATATTTCAAACACCTTTTTTCCATCAAACTTTCTTTTTCGATATAGAATTTGCATATCATTGGAAAGCTCTCTTCATGTACTTTCTAACGATGGTGGAAATAGGCTGCTATCCTCATCTGTGAGAATTTCACTAGCATCTCGCATAACTGCACTCAAAATCGAAACTTCGATGCTTGAGTTTCCGTGGCCACAATTCAGGCGCAAATCAACGAATTCTTCCGAAAACATAGCATTTCTATTGGATGAAAATTGTTTACCTACTGCATGCTTATGTGGATTTTTGGAGATATCTGAATTGAGAAATGGACGCTTCGATAGAGATACTCAGTGCTGGCATTCTATGGATCAGAAATTTCTCATAATTAAGGCAATCGCCAAAGCTTCGCCCATTTCTGTAAGCTTGAGATTAGCACATTTCAACCACAATATTTGAAGAGAAACTCAACTATTCAGTGTGCGAAGAATTTCGAATTTTCACAATTTGACACTTGCAAGCCTACAACAAGTAGGCTTAAAAAAGTGAACTTTTTTGAAATTTTGTCTTTTCTTTTCGCAGAACTCTTTCGTCGGAGTCTTTTCTATACCCTCATAAACGCTTGGCCTGCTGCTACAAAATAAGCTGATGGCCAACCATACGAACAAAACTTGAAGGGAGTTGTAAGCTCTTAAAGAAGAGGTTTTCGAGAAAAAAACTTTTAGTTTTTTGACGAGTAGTTTTCTGCCCAACTGCGATATCAGTATGAGCAGGCACGCGCTGAATTACGGAAGGTTTGCTGTTTCTGATGGTCTTGACTCCATTCAAAAATATGAAGATTGAACGAAGTTATAGCCCTCCAAAGTAGAAATTTGCAAAACGGACATTATTTTTGCAACAACCTAATATCATTCTCGAAGACATTTGTGTACAATGGGTTATCTAAAATCTTAATCGCATTCTCCATTGACAAAAACATCCTAGTATTCGAATTCAAAGCACGTTAATAAGCTCTGGTCGAAGACTTCAAGTGTGTAACAGTAGACTTTACAGAAAAGCATTTATCTTGATAATTTTTATGCAATTAACAATTATGTACAAAAAATAATTTCCCAGTTTTCAAGCCTACATCTTTATCTACCAAATACCCTGAAAAGGTGAAACACGAGCACTTCATTTCAATTCTGAAATTATAGGACGTTAGATTCACTTAGGAAGATGACTCATCGAGGTAGTGCCAATAACGAACATTCCGCGAAGTTCACGATATCGTTTAACAAAAATAGAGAAATTGACCATAGTCTAAAGGTATTTTGTGGTGTACTTTGGCTTTTAGCTGGAACTGTTCTGTGGGAGAAGATCAAATTACCTTATTTAGCATGAGTGATATTAGGTTGTCCCGGAAGTTTTGTCCGTTTTTTCAACCTATCATAAAAATACGTGGAACAAAGATAGGGAAACGCTCTAAACGCTTGCCAAACTTGGACATAGTAAAAACCATGGGTTCAAATTTTCGGCGTTTATCTCAGTGAACAAAAGATTAATCGGCATGGGAGCATGACAGTTAGAAAGAGAAGGAAAAGACGCGTCGGATAGTGCTTAGAGCGTTTCCCTATCTTCGTTCCACGCGTTTTTATGATAGGTTGAAAAAACGGACAAAACTTTCGGGACAACCTAATATAAAAACAGCTTTGTTTCGTTACTATCGTTCGGTATGTTAATTTGTATCATAATAACGGGCATCAATAACAAGCAAAAAGCACTCAAGGTGGTTAAGCTTGTAACTCCTCCATTCAGTCAATGGTTACCCGGTGACTTTGAAATTTGCCCATAGTAACGTTGCTTCGCATTATCTTCTTGCTTTGTAATTTACTCATCGACGGGGTGAGCGTGAAGTGGTCTTGAACCTCTAAAGTACTAGCGCTTAGTCATCATGATTAATCGTTTATCTTTGCATTATGTGACTATGTCATATTTGAATCACAGCAATCAGGCCAACTAGTGCTGCGGGCACATCAAACCTAGCATTTTACATCAACGAATTGTTGCTCATGCATATAGAATACAAGGTGAGCTACGGCAGGATTTTTGAAGCCATCATACTCGAGAATTGATTTATCCAATGAGAGATATCGCTCTGGCATCAGAATTTCATCGGAGTTTCAATAGGTGAGTGTTCGGT